ATATATCTAGTCGAACTTAGGCAATGGTTCAACAATCTTCTATTCAACCACCAAATATTTTGTTCCTTGTTCCCGATCAAGCCCTTTTTCGTTAAGCCCAGTTCCTCCCACCCTTGACTCACTGATGAAGCTCTGACAAAATAGTTAGATTTAATCGACTGCGAAAGAACTTTTTCTGCTAGGTCGACCCGGTTCAGCATTATAAAACGCTTATTGCCAATATAAAATTCAAAAACGTCGCCATAACGTTCGTGCATGGCAGCGTAGAATTTAGATGAATTCTTCATTTGAAGGAGGTTGCCGGCAATAGGAAGAGGGATAGGACCAGGAAGCGGGTTCTCACGGGTGATGTAAGAGACATAAAAGCTGATCACATATGACAAAATGAGGATGAGTAGGATGTGAAGAAGTGACGAAAAGATTGGTAACAAGGAGGTTAGTTGCGTATAAAGTGACATCTTGACTGGATAATGTAAAAGTGTGAGTGAGAATTGTCGATCCCTTGTCGATTGACGTAATTGGAATAGACTTTGATGCCGATCATTTAAAAAATTACTCGTACATACAAAGTATTGGCTTGGTCGGTAGCTTAAGAATTACTGAATGACATGCATTTTAATTTAATGTTTTATAATATTATTTCACAATAAACATTTTAGTACAAGAACCATAGCACTTTTATCACACTTCCTCTGTGTTCCTAGCTTTTAAATAAACTTTCAACTCCTTACAGGTGTTACTTATTATAAAGACATATTCTAACTCTTTATCTGGTTCACACAACTCAACCTCAAACTTTGAAAACAACAGGATAATAAAAGTCTTCATAAGTTTATCTGCTACAACTTTTCCTGGACACGCCCTCACCGTCCCACCAAAAGGTAGGAACGTTCTTGGTTTTATCTCATCGTCGCATTCGTCCAAAAATCTCTCAGGTCTGAATGTTTCCAGATCCTTCCAATGGGCCTTGTGTTTGTGAATGACTCCGATATTGGCACCGATCGCCGTACCAGCGCGCCATTTGTATCCGGCGACTTCATCATCTTTAGAAGCCAGTTGAATTACTAATGGAACGATAGTAAGTATGCGAGCAGCCTCTTTCATCACTGCGGTCGTGTATGGGAAAAGCGTGGAGAGAGAGTCGTAAGTGAGGATGCCGCCATCGGCGGCCAGTGTAGTATCGATTTCCGAGACGAGGCGAGATTTAACGGCTGGATGTTTGCAGATGTGGTAAATCGTAGAGCAGAGGGCGTTTGTCACCTAGTACATAGACAAAAGGGTAGTTAATACCAAAAGCATAATAATAATCGAATCGATTGAACAAAAAAGAAACGTTATTTAGCAGGGGTCAAACATCAGCATTACTTACTGTGCCAATTCCGCCAGAAAACACTTCAATGAGTATTTGAGCGATCTCACCCTCGTTCAAAGGTTCCTCAAACTCGCTCCCTTTAATTTTATTTGTGTCACTCTTTGTGTTGACAGTCAACATCAACGACAGCAAGTCCACCTTCAGCTCCTCGTCGTCGTCCATGTTCTCAATGAGTTGCTTTTTATTTCTTACAATTTGCTTTACCTCTTCCTCAAACAATGCCGCTTCCTTCTTCATTCGCGTTGCAATCTGCTTAAAGCCTGGAACATAATGTCTGAAAAATGACGGAGTTATGTAAAAGAATCTTCCAATCGAAGCTCTGTAGAGAAGCTTTGAGATAAATTCGGAATATGATTGGATAGACGATTGGGGAAGAGGTTTTTGAAGATGAGGCGGAAGGAGAGAATTGGCGTATGTAGGGATAGCATAAGTTTGCTCGCCAGTTGTTATTTTAACTTCCGTGTCCACAGTGATACAGTGCATCCATTTGGTGAATTCTAAAGGTGTGTTGCCACCGAGCTCTTTCCAATACTGTTCGGCCTCTGAAAATTGGTTGTGGGCGACATTAACAATTTCTTTGATGTATTTGGTAGACGTCAAGCAATTACTCAAAAAACGTCTGTTGAACGCCCAATTCTTGAATTTCTTATTTGAAAATATTCCCTTTTCTGTGAGACCTAGCTCCTTCCACCCCTGAGTTTCCGATGTAGCCCGAACAAAGTAGTTGGATTTAATTGATTGTTTAAGAACGTTGTCCTCTGCCAAATCAGCCCGATTAAGCATGATGATGCGCTCATTGCCAATGTAGAACTCAAAAACATCTCCGTGCTTTTTATGCATTGCGACCAGAAATTTGTACGAATCTGACATTTGGAGGACGTTGCCGACTATAGGAAGAGGGATGGGTCCGGGGAGAGGATTTTCTCGGTTGATGTAAGAGATGTAAAAGTTGATCACATATAGGAGAACAAAGGTGAGGAAAATATGAGGAAGATACGAGAAAACGTGAGCAGGTAATTGCGTATAGAATGACATTTTGTGGTGTGGTAAATAGTAGCCGTGACGTTAATAGTAAGGCGTTGATGCGTGTTTAAGTACTATGTGATCTGCACCACAAATATGGTCACTAGAATAGCACAATGAGTTTATACAACTTCGCCGGTACATTTACTTATACTGATATGGTAACTATTATTATTATTATAGTTCGGATTTAATTGCCGGAATTCCCGTTTTAATATGTGGGTTCCCACAGTTGAGTAGCACGATATAACGTCATCGGGTGTTCAAACAGTGACGCCTTTTTACTACGGATCATTGAGCTTTTGCAGGACTTATGCAATATATGCCCATACTAATACCTACATCGTCATTTCTTCATACAATGTCATTCTGGACAAGAATTCAGAGGACATAATAATATCTGTCTATTTGAAGGTGCCAAATGGCCGACAGTCCGCAGTCAATTCTGATTGTGTAATGTCACAAAATAGTTGGTGTAACATCTGATCTGGTTTTTTATATACTTGTATTTAGAAGACGATGACGATTTGCGAGACCCAATAGAGTCAATTACGAATAAATTACGATTACCGAAACGGAAAGAATGCGTATCAGATATGATTTGATGGGTTTAAAACTGTTTCCCTTCATATTCCCGACTGTTCTGGTCCAACATACTATCCCTGCGATTACACGCGAGCAAGGTAAAAGGCAGGCTTGCATACACTGATCATTAAACGAATCGACAGAATCAAATAGTCTAAATGCATGCAACACAAAGATTAACCAACAAGGCAGATGAACAACAATCTTCCCGTGATGATGCTGTTTATTGATGAGGTGAGTACCACCAAAAAGGATTACTACTTATCATTAACAACATTGACTACTTTAGCTGTTCTAAACCCATATATTACGACTCGCACATTTTTAGATTATGTAAACTTTCCCTCTCCCAAGTTCCCAGAGAATGTAACACATGATATATACAATATTTACCCTCGATTTCTTGCTTTTAAATACACCTTTAACTCCTCACACCGGTTATTTAATACATACTTGCGTTTCACCTCCTTATCCGGTTCACACAACTCAACCTCAAACCTTGAAAACAATAGAATGACAACAGTCTTGACCAACCTCTCAGCAAGCAGCTTACCCGGACACGACTTTACTGTTCCACCGAATGGCATAAACGCTCTTGGCTTTAATTCGTCCCTATGCTCGTCCAAAAATCTCTCAGGCCTAAATATCTCAGGATCCTTCCAATATGCTTTATGTCTATGTATGACACCATAGTTGAATGCGACTGCAGTACCCGCACTCCATTTGTATCCAGCGAATTCGTCATCTTTTGAGGCTACTTGAGCTCCCAGCGGAACTACAGTTATCATGCGAGCAGACTCTTTCATCACGGCGTTAGTGTATGGGAAGAGAGTGGTGACTGAATCGTAATCGAGATTGTTGTCCTGGGAGGAAATGGTCGCGTCGATTTCGGCGACAAGACGAGATTTGACGTCGGGATGTTTGCAGATGTTGTAGAATAGGAAGCAGAGTGTGCTCGTAGTCTACAGAAAGTGATTGGTTTAATTGTTAATTTTCTGAAACAGATCAATGTCGGCGACAAGGACGACAAAGGCCCCAACTCACCGTATCAAGTGCAGCAATAAACGCTTCAATGAGTATCTCGACAATTTCTTCCTCGGTAAAAGGCCTCTCAGCATTTTCCACTTTAAACTTATTGGTATCTCTTTCCGTGTTGATCGTCAACAACATTGTCAACAAATTGAGCTCCTGCGCCTCATCATTGTCCATATTCTCAATCATTTTCTTTTTCTCACGCACGATCTTTGCCACTTCGCTCTCGAGCCACTTAAGCCTCATTTTCAACCACTCGGCAATATGCCTGATGCCTGGGACGTAATGTCTAAGCAACGGTGGAACAAAGTAAAAGAATTGTCCGGTTGGAGGCCAGGCGAGCAGATACGACATGAATTTGGAATAATCTTCCAGAGATTGACGAGGTAAGGGTTTTTTGAGGTGAGGAGGAAGGACAGAGTTGTAGTATGAAGAGAGAGAGTAGGTCATTTGACCGGTGATCAATTTTATTTGCGTATCTACAATGAAACAATGCATCCATTCTGTGAATTCAAGCGGTTTACTGTCACCAAGCTCCTTCCAATACCCTTCGGCTTCTGAAAATATTTGCTGGATACTGCTGACACTCTCCTTAAGGTATTTTGTGGAACTCAGGCAATGACTCAACAATCTTTTGTTGAACAGCCAATCCGTAATCAAACGGTTTCCGATAATACCCCTATTCGTCCAACCCAACTCCTCCCATCCCTGACTCAACGCCGCATCTCTGAGAAAGTAGTTGTTGGATTTAATCGACTGCTTAAAGACGCCATTCTCTCCCAGATCAACTCGATTAAGCATGATGAGACGCCTGCTGCCGATATAGAATTCAAAGATGTCACCATATTGTTTATGCATGGCATTGAGAAATGTGTAAGCATCCGCCATTCTATGAAGATTACCGATAATAGGAAGAGGAGTCGGACCGGGAAGAGGGTTTTCTCGGTTGATGTACGTTATGTAAAAGTTGATTACATATAGAAGAATAAGTGTAAAAAGAAGGTGGGGTAGGTATGAAAGGCTTGTCGAAAATGGAGCGGCTAATTGCGTATAGAATGAGAATGTCATTGTCTGTGGTTATCATTATAAGAATAAGCGATGTGCTTGTTTAAGTATATTTTGTACTATATGCAATATTACAAATTTGGACATTAGAATCGTACCACATTAAGTATATTCGATTTGCATTCGATCCATCGATTGGCCTTCTCATCTTCCGGGTGACATATCCGTTTATTCCGAAATGCAAAACCACATGATGTCACTGTATTTTACTTTAATACCAAGTGGGCGGTTACTGCTTGCCTTTTCGGGAAGCCAATATAAGGGAATTGAGAGGCCCTAAATAACGAAGGTTAATATTATTAAATATTGGTAGATCGGTGATTAAACAACTATGTAAGTTTCTTTATTCAGAACGCATGACATCAACAACGCAACAAGTAAGCAAGCATGTCTTCTCAACCGAATTAATGGGATTAGGCTATCGGCTCTCAACAAAAGAATAATATGGGCGAAGAATTATACAAGTTTTTCTAACAAGCATAATGAAGCAAATAAAAACCTGCTCATTCGACAAACCTGCGACAGAATCCTAAGCAATATAATGACCGACCTAGAATGGATTTAACCCCGCGCCATGAGAAAGGACGGTCATTAAGCAAACTTTTCGTAAAAAACAAACTTTAGGAAGATCATCAATTATAGAGTCTGATGGGATGGGATTGGATGGAATGTCACTCTTCACACTCGAAACAAACATTGGCTCGTATGTAGCGATTTTTATGTTTGATGAGTACGAATAATTAAGGGAGCTAAAAACGAAAAGCTAGAGCGTGAGCCGAAGAGATTGATAAAGAGGTGGCAGCGATTTTATTGCGACTATAACAATAAATGAGCATTGAAGCTAAAAGTTGCCCATCAACGAAACGTAAACGGTAAAAATATGTCGATCCTGTATGCCCCGGAATCACATGATTCCTTTATCTCAGGATACGCAAACTTTGTTTTGGTGTCGCACTCGGCAACCCAAGTTTGCTACTCTTCGTTCTGAAGCTTAATGAGGTTGAATTCTTTGGTTTCCATTTGTTTTATGTGAAAAACAAATTCTTCCGCTCTTCAAGTTAATACAGCCATTACCTGATCGTTGTCCTGTAAGCGGTGCATGGTTCGATCTTGTAAGACGAATGCGCGAGCAGTCTCACTGCGATAACAGTTAGCAGAGTCATTTGTAACTTTCTACCCAATTTGGTATAATCCTTCTATCTGCTCAACAGGAAAAACAAAAGGGGGAAATCGTTGTATCGAAGAACATCGTTAATATGGGTTGCTGTCTAAGTAGACCGCAAGATGATGAAGAAGAAGAATCCGTCCGACGAGATGAAATAGATAATGCTGTTCCGAGAGGAGGTGAGACCTGTGGGCGATTCTAGCTTTGTTGTAAGACGAATTTGATTCAAAGTAGTGTTTACTTGTTTGAATGGCGTGGCGATGCGTTTTCTTGTAGACCATCAGTCAAACTAGTATCGGTTTTTGCTAGAGCTCATTAGATTTCCTGCTATGTCTCTTGGCGATAGACTGGTGAAGCATGTCTTTGCAATAGATCTATCGGATGTGATGCATCACATCAGCATTGCGTTTTCACTCGGCGCCTAGCTATAGTTGATATCACTCATTTATTTCTGTTTTGTATTTACATTTTTCGTCCATAGGTAATAAACCATTCACAAAGAAAGGCTTGACATGGGAGGCGGATTCTTCGATAACCATACGTCAACTGAAAAACCAACGCGATGCATTTTGGGACACTGCACCAAGTTATGAGGTATATAGTGATCGCTGGCAATCGTAGCGAAATTCATGTTATCTTGACACAGATTATTGTCGTTCATTGACGATGATCGAGTACGATTTTAACTAACTTGTGATTTAAATTATAGGGCCGATTGGAAATCTGGCAAGCGCTACGCTATGCATGCGAATCTGAGGATTTGGTTTTTGCTCAAGCGATTTTGGACTCTGTCAACGTTACCATTCCGACTGGGAATCTTGCAAATGGTTGTTACGATGAACTTGGTAATCGATATGTCATTCCCGTATACTGTATAGTAGATCCGATAAATCTGACAAAGGATGAAGATGACGAAGGCTCATCAACCAGCAGCGATGATATGGATGTCAAGTTACTAAGTGACCAGCAAGCCACAACGTCTGCGCCACAACATACCGTCAAGATAAGGCTTTCTAATACCGCAAGGGACATTGATATTGGTGTGAATCTGAAAACTGACACAATTGCAATGCTCAGACGTAAGATATGTTTGCATGAAAACTTGGATTTCAAAACTACGCATGTGCGCATCCTCTTTCTTGGTCGAGTTCTTGAAGATAAGACTAGGGTGGCGGATGTCAAAGTTGAGGAGGGACAAGTGTTTCAAGCATTGATTACCGAGAGAATATTGGGAGACGGATCTGATAATGTATTGCTAATATGAATCGATCTGTATATTTGAAAAAGAGTTATACAAGTCAATTCAGAAAGCATTTGACAAATCGGTCATTTGGAAAACCCCCCATATGATTTAACAAGTTAATGAAATAATCTGCTAGTATATTGAAATTGTTATATGCTATTTATTATTAGTGTAGATAAACGGTGTCAAACTTAATAACCTGTTCTTGTAAACTATTTGATATGGTGAAATTTGAACACATGTTCATATATACGCACAATTAATTAGTTTTAACGTTGTTACTCAAATAGTGAATTAACTCCGTATTGACGTATGTTACTACCTATAAAGAAGATACAAATACCATCTGTAAACCATTTGTTCGATTGATATTCGTCAACATACGACGTTGTGAGTTATATTTAAAATCTGAGGAAGTTATTGTTACATAGGACGAGTGTCATGTATGGGCCCAACGGCCCATACAACACACGTAACTTTAACATTAATATTAGTCTTGTCGCACGCTCAAAGGCACAAGCGAATGCCAAAAAAAAAAAAAAATACCGATGCAAAAGAACAATCCTATTGATTTGCGGGGAACGATTAGTTATAACGACATATGCATGTTCTCCCCGTTTTGAAATTTAGAGTTATAGTCTAACCAAAAATAAAATTAAGTTGTAAATAAGTAATAATAGAAAATACATGACTGAACTTCGTAAGTAAAATGTTGTTTATTTTTCCCATACACATATTTGCTTGTAATAAGTTGTCGCGCAACACGCAATGTTGAGTTTGATACGCAATTATTGCAATAAAGGTTCAAAGATTAACAGAAACTGGGATGGGGTACAAAGAGTGTCGATTTCAATAAATAATTGCTAAGCAATAGCTCGATGGCAAGGAACTGCTTCCGAATCAAAAGAATTAAATCTTAAAACTTTTCCGTAAGACACTTCTAATAATAACTTCGAAACAGTTACAAAACGTTCCATTCTACGAAGACAGCTTGTCTAACATATAATTAGTATGTGATCATTCAATTTAGTGTTCAGTGAGGGGCATAATTTTAATTAATAATAAAGTCACGAACGCGTAATGATAAACAATAGCATACAAAATAATATAATAAAACGCGGGCGTTCGCTTATAAATAATATTCACATTAGAATTGGTATACGGCGTATTTTCCATCAGAACAACATTGCTCATAACCAATCATCTTTACGCCAGTAGGAAATGTTTCAATTTTCAAGTTACGTTCTATAGAGTTTAACTTTTCTTCCGAATATAAACAGACCCAATAAAAACGTACTCCAGCCTAAAATAGAGTTGAAGTTAGAATAATTGAATACGTTTTGCATTAGTCAGCGAATAGTAAACCATACTTACTGCATAATAACCAGTATAAGTACTGTTTTTAAATTCCATAATAACATCATCTTCAGACAAAACGTTAACCGCGCATGGTAAAATGTATTCAGCACTGCTGCCATTAAATTGGACGTCCATCGTGTATTGTATTTCTTCAGTCGATGTTTTTACTGTCGTCTACAAAATCAGAATATTTATTATTATACTTATTATCACAATCAACAATATTATCTTAATACTTACTTCAATTGTAATCGATGTCTTCCAATAATTCCTCAACAAAATGCCGAGTTTGTATTTATGTGGAGGTACTTTGAATATTGGTATTGTTACCTAATATAGAATTGTTTATTAGTTAATATTCACAACGTATACAAACGTTGATAAATAATAATGATTATACACTTACTTTATTATTTGCATAAAGGCACAAACATCCATAATAATAGGAACTATTAAATGATAGATGTTAGTAGTGATACAGCATAATAACAATTACTATAAATTACTTACTAGTCACATTTATTGATATCATCAACATGACTTTCATATTTGAAATGTGCTTTCAAATGACCTAATAATAATAGTAATTAGTATGCATAATAATATATAATTATGTAATCATTGCATTGCCAACCCCTTACTTTTGTGCATGTAATAAACTTTTTCAAAAAACACGTTTATACGCGTATGATAAAAATGCCAAGTATTGTTATACATCTTATACCAACTAGCAGCTGTGTCATACCATCTGGAGTAATCATCTGTTCCATACTGATGGTTACACAGTGATTGCCATCGACTGGCATTGTTCAAATAAAGCATTGCTTCATGAGGGCAACTATCCACAAGAACCTTAAACCATTCTACATCAAAGTGCTCAAGCTTGTTTACATATTCATTAATGACATTGAATGCCTTTTCTTGCATATTTATATTTCGATGTTTAATATGCTGAATATCTCGTCCAACTCCTTTCTTATTCCCCAACCCTACATGTGCCATTAAGCTTAAGTACCAAGCATCATCATATATCTTGTTTACTTCAATTGCTGTCTCAATATCAAACAGTGCTTTTCCAAAATTCTTCATTTCTATCTTTATCATTGCTCCATTACACAGTGCTTGATAATTTGTGAAATCAACTAGTAATATTTGTGCATAGATATTTATAGCCTTTTCCAACTCATTATTTTCATATGCAGCTTTAGCTTTTTGAAGTAACTTATCAATATTGGGTGCTGTTAATGATTTCCAAATTGAAACCAATGTAGACTCAGAATCATATTTTCTCCTGCTCTTTCTTTTTTGCTTTTTCAGATCACCCTCATCAAATATATTTGAATTTGCATTAGTGCTGCTGCCAATACTAATATCAATGTTTTGATGACCAGTATCTAAGTCTGCAATATAATGTTGAACATTATTGAATATGGTCTGTTGTGGCAAATGATACACTTTATCTTTTCTAATTTCACTTCTGCAATAAGGGCACTTTAGGTTGGTTAATGATAAAAGGGCCTTTGAGCTAATAATATGTTGACAATTAAGCTGATAAAAGTCACCAACTGCTTCACAAAGAATATCACATGTCAGATCTTCTGCAACATAGTTGATTGGTGTCTTCTCAGCACATTTTCCTTTTCCTTTTCCTTTTCCTTTTACTTTGTCTTGTTGCACCACCTTTTGAGCACTTGTTATTGTTGTTATTTGGTTTGGTGAGTACTCTAAAATCATTTTTGATTCAACTTCCAATTTCTCTTTCAAGTAATAGTACATGCTAACCAATCTTGGTATATACTTCTCATCACAGCTAGAAATATCATCAGGTGTTGTAACAAACAATTCACCATTTTTGAGTTCAAGCCTCAATAACACTTCAATGGATTTGAATTGAATAAATTTAACAGCTGCATTATTTAATGAATCTAATGCTATGTAATAACAAATAGCTTGGGTAGTTGTAGAAAATGTGTTATCTACAAGTTGCTCAATAATATCCAAGATGCCAAACCAGAGTTCATCACTAACATCTTGATTCTCTGCTGCATCTTCAGCATAACATAAACTGGTATGATACCAGAGATATTCAAGAAGCACTCTTTCTTTAAAGTTTACTGAAATGGCAGACTCTTGTTCACACCACTTATTAAGACAATCTTGTAATACAATAAGCCTTCTCCAGGTTGTATACCAAGGCTTTCCTGATGGTTCAACATAAAAGGCTTCTGTGAAATACTTCCAGGATCTCTCTATATCAAAATCACCAAGAGGGACCTCAACTCCTGCAAGTAATTTAATCCCAACTTTAGCCAGCCCAGGAACAGCAACAAGTAAACCCTTTAATGCTGCAATGGCTCTATCAATATTTGTCTGATACTGGTTTCTATCATCACAAACAGCATTTAGTGTATTCTTGATGAGTTTGAGAAGATATCTACTATTGTAATTACATTTAAAGCTTTCAGCAGTTTTGTCTGATTCATTGAATTCCGCGTAAATAGGTTTCCAGGTTTCACCTCCATGGTGTACGATTCTTGAATATGCTTTCTTGTACCTGGAAGTCGCTTGTTTAACACTATCAATAAAAAGACGTGTGAATTTGCACTTATTTTGACACATCTGTTCCAATATTTTTATCATAATTCGTAGCTGCCATTCCAGTTTAATAACTGTTTCTCCTGAAAACACTTCATCAAGCTCTTGAGAACATAAACTCTTCATAACTGTAATTAACACTTCTACTGACACAGAACTTCCTTTATGTTCGAGAATATATCCGAGTGCATAAATATTCTCTGCATATTGAATGTCTGTAAACAATCCTTTTATCTGTGCATTTGCTGACATAAGACCCTGTTCCATTAACTGAAGTATAATTTTAGGAAAACTGCTTTGGTTCTCAGTGTTGTTTGCCATTGAATTGATGTGGAAGCTGATATCGAGGGAAGCACTGTGAGCGCTTGCTATGATAAAGATGCTGCAAGTCGTTGAACAAAACTTCAAAGTAACACGATGTTTACTTCCTATTACTATTGGCTGTGTTATTTGCATAGTGTGACAAACATTACCGCAAAAGCCTTCCGACATAGAAAGTGAAGGGAGAATTCGAGTTTCATTTCTATTTTAAAACATTTGAATTGTCTAAATGACATTTCAAACAAAGTTTTTTTCACAATATTCAGCTAAATTTGCGGATTATGTTAAAGACGGATGGGTCATGCATAGTAATAGTAATGGTAAGGGCAGATTGGCCTCGGGTTTTTTGAGCATAATAATCATCTTTTGACAATTTTTATTTGAATGCGGAAAACAAATGACACACTAAGAATAATTCGTATTTTGTTCCCAATAGATCTAATAGTGTTCCGATTCTGATATCTACCTAACTATAAATCTGATACCGAGGATGAAATATTGTACTCCATTCCGAAAAGGAACGCCACACTCAAAATTTGGGGTTATCATTATTACGGCACGTATCAAAATTTCTTAAGCATAATCCTAGTAATGACATCACCTCACGATCTTGGTGTCGCCTCGACATTCTTACACCCATGTCATTACAGTTAATCTTCTTACGAAGTATTTATGATACTGTTCGTTGTTATTTTATCCCTTAATCAGCGTTTACAGTGGTCGTTATGATCAATAATGATAGTACGGAAAGTTTAATTGACCGAGTACTCCGAGTAACTACTACGCCTTTCATTTTGATGCACATGGCTTTCTTTATTGGCTAACAAGATAACAAAAAAGTAATAGTCTCCCGCTTTATAATAACCATTCCCAGACATAATATTGCTGATCAAAGAAATCGGATATTAAAACCGTTGGCCGAGTTTCTTCTATTTTTTTTTTTTCAATAGAAAAAATGTCCATCTACGCACAATTAACCACACTTATCCCACAAACTATCCTCTTGCTTCCTCTTCTCCTTCTCACTATTATCTTGCTCCATGTGATCCACTTTTACATATCCTACATTACCCGTGAAAACCCTCTTCCGGGTCCTATTCCACTTCCACTTGTTGGCAACCTCCACCAAATGTCAGACACATACAGATTTTTCAATAAATGTTACGAACAATATGGTGACATTTTTGAATACTACATTGGCAACAGACGAGCCATCATGCTTAATCGAGTTGATATGGCAGAAAACATTCTGACGCAATCGACCAAATCCAAATACTTTCTCAGGCTCGTAGCATCGAATCAGGGATGGGAAGAATTGGGTTTTACGGAGAGGGGTTTGGTTGGAAACAAAGTAATGAAAAATTGGTCATTGAACCGAAGGATGTTGAATTTTTGCTTGACTTCAACGAAATACATTAAAGAAATGGTAAATGTTGCGCAAGAGCGATTTTCAGAAGCAGAAGGGTATTGGGCCGAACTTGGCGATGGTACGCCTTTGGAATTCACCAAGTGGATGCATGGCATTTCCGTAGATACGCAAATAAGGACTCTGACTGGTCAAATGACATATGCTCTTTCCGCATACCGCAATTCTCTTCTTGCGGAACATCAGCAACAATCTCTTCCTGACTCGGCTATCAACTCCTATTCCAAGTTTATCAATCATCTTTGCGCCATATCTCGAATCGGACAATTTTTCTATCTCATACCTTGGTATTTTAGGCACTATGCCCCGGGCATCAGGGGAACTGCGGAACGGATGAAGAAGGAAGCCATGTGGCTTCAAGAGGAAGTGAGGAAGATTGTGCAAGAAAGAAAGAAGGAGATTGAGAATTTAAAGGAGGGAGAAGAATTGAGAGCGGATTTATTGTCGTTGATGTTGACTATAAATACACAAAAGGATTTGAATGTGGTTAAGACGGGTGAATTCGAGAGGCCGCTAAACGAAGACGAAATCATTCAGTTACTCATTGAAGCATTTTCCGCTGGTGTTGATTCGGTATGCTGATTGAACAGAGACTGTGTCTTGCATGTCCAAAGCACAATCTGAAGAATTCGGATAGTTTTCGTCTGACTCGACTTTTTTTTTTTTTAAACCTTAGATAACGAACGCCCTCTGCTTTGCCATCTATCACATTTGTAAACACCCAGCTGCCAAATCTCGCCTGATTGCGGAAATCGATGCCGCCCTCCCGTCCGACACCGACATACTTTCTTATGAATCTCTAAGTGGATCCTTCCCATATACCACGGCAGTGATGAAAGAGTCGTCCCGTTTGCTCACCGTCGCTCCAATAATAGCTCAAGTATCCTCAGAAGACGACGAGCTTGCGGGGTACAGATGGCGTGCTGGTATAACGGTTGGTGTCAATCACGGAATTATTCACCGACACAAAGCATACTGGAAGGATCCTGAGGCTTTCAAACCCGAGAGATTCTTGGACGAATGTGAGGATAAAGTAAAGCCAAAGACATTTCTGCCTTTTGGTGGAACACTGAGAATTTGTCCGGGCAGGTTTGTGGCCGACAGGCTAATCAAAACATTTTTGATCATGTTGTTTCGAAAGTATGAAGTTGAATTGTGTGAACCAGACAAGGAGGTTGAGTATTATTATGCGATGACAAACAAGTGTAAGGGTTTGAAGGTTTATTTGAAGAATAGAAACAAGGAGCATATGACGGTGGCGTAGATAGACAAGTAGGTAAAAGTAGAATGGTCATTTGGTGTTAGTTATGTGAACGACCTTTTCATAAGTGCAACGGATGCATACCACCAAGCCTTTGTTTTTACATTAGACGTGGAACGATTGTAGTTAAATTCCAACTTTTTGAATTTTTACTTGTACAATATGAATCGTGACATCATTAATGCCTTTTTTTCTTATTAAATAAGTATGTTATAAACAAATTTATGCAAGAAATTTTTGAAACGTGAAAATATGTCTTTGATGCTCACCAAAGTCCTAAGTGAATGCAGAACGAGATGACGTTAATTCTTTGTGAATCATAATTATTCGATATCAAAAAGTCAACCCAATTGTCAACAGCAACCTTATCCCTCTTTGTTCTCTCTCACCACCACTGTAATTCCAGTATAACCTACTGCATGCTTGGCGGCAGATTGCACCTGCCAGTCCTAGCACACCAAAGCGGTTGTAATGGCTCGGCCCTAATACCCCTGCCAACCATCCGGAATCGCATGTCATGCAACCGAGGGAGAGCTGTCTGTACGCTTCTTGGATTGCCATGCTCGTCGGTAGCACCAGACCAGAGAATCTCAGCGGCTGCAGAAGAACGCGGCCAGAGAAGAGATTCAAAGTTTGTAGTATCGGCTTGTTCGGACCAGAGCAACACCTCACCTAGTAAAAAAAAAAGATAGAATATGAGTAGGTTGGAGAGTCTGCTGTAGATGGTAGTCGCAAACTGAGATGACTTACCCCCTAAAATATACTTGATTTCCTCTCCGCTGAGACCTTGAACTGGGTTATAAGAATACATCTTTTGCCACGTTTTGAATGGATCGCACCTACATATATTAGAAGAAATCGTTTCTAACAAAACTCGACGCGGCTTTGTCCATAATCAGTTTTTTAGATTGACAATCGCATCAACTTACCAGCTATTCCCATTTACCCAATCACCAACCCAAGCTCCATGTCCGCAGTCCAAATACCAATAATCAGCCGGTCCTACAATCACTCTATAATTCATATCGACTACTTGCTTCACTCGGTCACTGCTTGTCCACACTTGGATCACAACATCTTCTGCCAGACCCATTCTCTGATTCAACAGTATCTCCTCCCAAGTTATGGGTGTTTTTCCTGAACCCCTAACTGCATCGTATTCAACGTTGAGAAATGTTTGTAATACCATTGAGATAGATGTTCCGGGATTAGACGAGAGATATTCGCGAATCGAATCTGTAGATTCCCAGCAGTGAGTGTTCACCTCGTCACCGCCGGTATGCCAAAACTTGTCTGGGAACCAGGAAGAAAGCTCCGTTATTAATTGCCGGACAAAATCGTAAGTCTTTGGGAGAATCGGATTTAGCTGGCCGGATGGTGGTTCTGCAGCGTACTTTTTGGGAGTGTAGATCAGTTAGTAAACAAGACAAGACCAAAGATTTGGATAATTACATTTTAGGATCATTGCGTTGTAAATCACGTCTGACTCACCCAATTCCAATTCGGTTGTTGATCCAAGCATGTCATTCTTTCCGGAAAAAATTAACATTAATAAGCAACGAGAAAAAAAATGAAATGACATCAACACAAAAAAGGGTATTCTTACATCTCGGGGTGACTCAATGAAATAGGATACGTATGACCTGGCATATCGAATTCTGGTATTACACGTATTCCTCTCTGATATACGTAAATACACATATCATTAATAGTAATAAATTTACTCAATAAAACATTGGTATTCGCTTACCATTCTGGCATATTCGACAATGGTCTCAATCTCTCTTTTGCTATACACCATGTCATTCGGATCATATGCGCCCTTTTCACTCAACTCTGGGAAGACTTCACTCTTTACTGGCCAACTATGTTGATCGACAATATGCCAATGAAAGACATTCATCTTGTTCCAACTCATCACATCTAATGTGCGTAATATATCAGTCTCGGGATAAAAGTTACGAGAAGTATCAAGGAGGAGGCCGCGATGATGGAAACGTGGTCGATCGGTTATGTGGTGAGGTGCGTCAGGGAGAACAAGATCGGCAGAGGAAGGAGGAGAATAGAGGAGAAGAGAGAAAGTAGTTAAACCGTGCAAAAGTCCATAGACAGTCTTTGCTTTGAGGTGACATGTTATGGGCTGGTCTTCTACGGGTATGATCAATTCATATGATTCATCGGTATCAGGACCCAATTCAACGTCGTCAGATTCTATTTCAACATACATCCTTTCCACAGTCTTTGCATTTCGTTCTGGTATCGGAATGAGCTTATTAGGAGGTGTGTACTTTTCTTCTTTCATAAATTGTAATAATCTCTGCGTGGCGCTGTGAATGATCTTGTGTAGTTCAGCGCTGGACGACACGATATTGTCCGAGTAACGGAAAGAAAGGGTGGAATAGACCCTGAGGACTTCATCGCCCTTAGACCAAGAAGCAGGTATTGGCCAGAGGGCAGTCGTTGTTGAGGAGAAGAATAAAAGAAAGAGGAAAAGATAGAATCGAAAAGACATTGTAAGAGGAAAAAGTTGTACAGTAGTGGAGGCAGTATGTGAATATGTGGATGACACGAGTATCACAACACGCACAATTAAAGAAATTGTGCTTGTAATACTAAAAAGAATTAGCGTGTAAATTGACACTATTATATAATCGATGAGTTGCAACGGGGGTGAGAAATACTCACGACGCCACTAAAACTTGTTGTGCAATTGATAAATATAAACTCATAACCTTATTTTGCGGCTATACCTGATTATTAATGTGTTCCTAATAAAGCTAAGAACTATAAATAATTCAATGTGTGTTTATCTGCAAGTTGCACGAATGACTGTCATTTTTGTTGTTTAGTAAAATTAAAAGTTGACCCGCGTAAATAAAAGAATTTTGTTAAAGTTTTAATTATATGCCACAAACTATATGCGTCGATGTCAATTGGAGTTCATCATATTCAAACACACGCCATGCCCTCTGCATAAATAATCTTGGTATTTCAATATTACAAGTAAAAAATTTTTTTATTACTATAATCCGATATGGCCAGCCCGTGAGAATTCTAACATGGCCTGGGCCCAATTTCTGACGCAGATCAGTGTGATGAGACGGACTATCTAATATGAGATGTTTGGCACATAACTTTTATTCGCCGCAAGTCACATGCTGCCTCCCGAGACAACCCTCCATCCTGTGCTTTAATCCTGCATTCAGACATTGGTATATGATAGCCTCTCAATATCTGTTCGGGAAAGACACTTCAGTTTGTTTTCGAACTAAAGATTTAGTGAGGAATGAGGTGGATATGTGAATGAACTAGACTTTGAAAGCGCCAACTGCCATTGGTAATAATCTTTGAGAATACTCGAAGTAACAGAAATAGTTCATGGCTCCCATTATCATGTTTGATTGATTTCGTCTGCCGGCTAGGTGAAGCTCAATAATCTCTTTTCTGTTTCCAATCACAAATAATAAATCACAATAAATTCTCCTGAATAAGCTCATATTCAGCGGGATTTATGATGTATTTGATAAATTTACGTAACAAAACCCTACTCGATCTTCCTATTTCCCTTTTACCGTCGCAACCTACTCTTTCTCCTCATTCTGCCCAATCTCAAAACGGTCTGAAACATACGTTCTACTTTTAAAATTATGGATCTTTTTCAGTTTCAGACCCGAGTTTTTAATAGAGCAGCATGGCAATGAACTAAGAGTTATATGTCCTAATCCTTTACACAATCTTCTCTATGTCAACCCTTAGAGTTATTATTATAACTGGTTCACATTGACTAGCGCTAGGTGCGTTGATGGTATTTATCGATAACATTAGCAATAATGAAAGTTGACCATAATCGTTCGCCGAAAATGACAATACAAACTCCGCATCAAGCGATAGAAATAGTGCCAGAGAATAAAGCAGTAGGATAATAAGCCGTATTTTTTACGCAAAATTTGACCTTATGCGTAATTAATATACGGTATAACATCCATAGGAAAAAGCGCCAGATATTTTGGAACGCGCGCAGGCTTGAACGAGTTCGCTTGGCTGGATCACATCTTCATCAGCCGTGTGCTTGTAAACCTCCTTCCTCTATCACCTGGCTGGATCAAGAAAACGGTTCTGTTGTGTCGCAATCGTCGTTCATCCATATGGAAGCCGTAGCCCTTCATTGCCGTCGTCTGATCTGCCCTAACCAAGATTATAATAATCGTATTAGGCTTAAAAGCAATAATGTCGAAAATGTAATGTTGAAAATGGATGATGTAAATGATGAAAATAATGAATATACGAGTATAAATATAGTGTCAGCGACTTGTGATTAAATCTACCTTATCTCAACAGAAACGATATTCGTAGTTGACAGATATAATACATCAGCATCCTTCCTTACTCGTCAGCCCTGGCGACATTACCCTGAAATACATTGACGTTGATGCATTGCTACTTTAGTTCGCGGATCAAGAACAATAGAGCCAGAATTCATCACAAACTATAGTGATCATAAAATGTCTAAACCACGCCAACGTCGTCCAATACTTGACTCACATTACAGCCTCACGTTTTGTGTCAAGTTGCAGTATAACTACCTCTCCCGTGCCCAAATGGTTCTGCAAACATTAATACGTCATGAGAGGATCGAGAAACGTCTGTTGGCCTTTACGGAGAATTCGACTAAACAATTATGGACAAGCGCTACGCTAAAGTATGCGAACACAGAATTGGATAAGGAGGGAGGTTAGTACTGGTGTTTCAAGTAATTCGGTCAAGCCAATACTTGAAAACAAAAACGTACTATGAGAATTCCACGTAGCTATGTCGTCTAACAGGACAGGTCGTCCGCTACGGAGAATTTGAATGTTAAAGTATTACACAAATGTCACCCCAAACGTAACACAGGCGGATTTTTGTCCAATAGGAATATAACAGTCATCGAAGTTGAAGTGACATCTCTGCACAATGGCATATGAGGTATGGGAAAGCAACCATAAGCTAAAACATTCTATCTGCTTATCTATTAACTATTACATTTACCTTGTAGAAAACCGAAAACTCGATCCCTACTTCGATGAGTTCTACATCAACAACCAACTTTGTATCAGGCGTTTGGCCAACTACAACAGCAAGTTCCTCGATGACATCGCCTACATCAGCGCCAAGCGGCAGTGCAAACGCAGGCCGTTTCCCACAAGTTATACTTGAATTAATGGAACAAGGGCTTTTGTCACCGGATGCGCAGATAGAGAGATTGATAACAAACTTGAAATATCCCCAGAATATTTACGCACTCAAATACATTCTCGAACATAGAGGAGATTCTGTGTCAGTAGAGATGCTAGATTCTGCATTGAAGAGTCTATGTTCTCAAGAATTTGATAATGTGTTTTCAAGAGAATCAACTATCAAATTGGAATGGCGATTACGTATTACCACTACTATTCTGGAACGGATGTGTCGGAACGAGTGTCAATTTACATGTCAATTTCTTGATGATGTTAGACAAGCTACTTCTATGTATAAGAATGTACATTCAAAGATTATGCAGCATGGGGGAGAAACTTGGAAACCCAAGTATGCAGGATCTAATGAATCAGACAAAACCACCAAAGGCTTTAAATACAATTATGATTGCCAATATCTTCTCAAAATCATTAAGAATACATTAAACGCTGTTGTTGATGAGAAAAACCAGTACCAATCAATCATTGATCGAGCCATTGCAGCATTAAAGGGTTTACTTGTTGCTGTTCCTGGACTAGCTAAAGTCGGGATTAAATCTTACATGGGAATTGAAGTTCCTCTTGGTGACTTTGACTTGGAGAGATCATGGAAATACCTAGCAGAGGCCTTTCACATTGAATCATCAGGCAAACCATGGTATGTAACCTGGAGACAACTTATTATGTTACAAGATTGTCTTGACAAATGGTGTGAGCAAGAGTCTGCCATTTCAGTTAGCTTTAAAGAAAGAGTGCTTCTTGAGTATCTCTGGTATCATATTAGTTTATGCTATGCTGAGAATGCAGCAGAGAATCAAGATGTTAGTGATGAGCTCTGGTTTGGTATTTTAGATATTATCCAACAACTTGTACAGAAAACCTTTTCTCCAACTACTCAAGCTATTTGTTATTACATAGTACTAGACTCTTTGAATAATGCTGTCACTGAATCTATTCAATTCAAATCTATTGAAGTGTTACTGAGTCTTGAAGTCAAAAACAGTGAATTGTTTGTTACAACACCTGATGATATTTCTGGTTGTGATGAGAAATGCATACCAAGATTGGTTAGTATATACTATTACCTGAAAGAGAAATTAAAAGTTGAATCAAAAATGATTTTACAGTACTCACCAAACCAAATAGTGGAAAGTGCTGAACAACAAGACAAAGGAAAAGGAAAAAGCATTGAGAAACATCCAATTGATTATATTGCAGAAGATCTAACATGTGCTATAACTTGTGAAGCTGTTTGTGACTTTTATCAGCTCAGCTGTTGTAAACAGATCATTAGCTCAAAGGCTCTTTTATCATTAAATTATTTTGAGTGTCCTTACTGCAGGAGTGAAATTAGAAGGGATAAAGTGTATTATTTGCCACAACAGACAATATATAAAAATGTTCAGCATTATATTGCAGACATTAATTATCAAGATGTCTATAATGCTAATAATGCTGGAAATAATGTGGATGTAGAAATGTTTAATGAGCATGATGACCTTAAAAAGCAAAAAAGAAAAAACAGAATGAAAAAGTATGGTTCTGGATCTACATTAACATGGCGTTCAATCTGGAAATCATTAACAGCAGCAAAAAAGCCAAGCATTAATATAGAAAAATTGTTTCAAGAAGCTAGTACTGCATATTACAGTGATGAATTGGAAAAGGCTTTAAATGTCTATACACAAATATTACAAGTAGATCCCAGAGATTATCAAGCATTGTGTAATAGAGCAAAGATCAAATTAGATATGAAAAATGTTGGAAAAGCACTGCTTGATATTGAGACAGCAATTGAAGTAAACAAAGTCTATTATGATGCTTGGTATTTAAGTTTGATGGCACATTTAGGTTTGGGAAATAAAGGGGCAGCTAGACAAGATATTAGACGTATTAGGCGTATGTTAATGTACAGGCAAGAAAAAGCATTCAATGTTATTGATGCATATGTAAACAAACTCGAGCACTTTGATGTAGAATGGTTTAAGATTCTTGTGGATAGTTGTCTTCATTATGCAATGTATAAGTTGGATGATGTCAATCAATGGCAATCACTGTTACTGTGTAATCATCAGTATGAAACAGATGATTACACCAGATGGTACAACACTGCGGCATCTTGGTATAACGCGCATAACAATACTTGGCGTTATCATACGCGTATAAACGCGTTTTTTGAAAAAGTTTATTACATGCACAAAAGTAAGGGGTTAGCAATAATTACATAATTATATATTATTATGCATACTAATTACTATTATTATTAGGTCATTTGAAAGCACATTTCGCATATGAA